AGTCCAATGATCGAAGCCACATAAAAACACTTGTAATACATGTTTTAGAAAGTGATTTCTAATTGGGGTGTTTTAGTTTCAGCATCAGAGGATCACAGTTCCTCTAACAAGAGGAGGAACATCTGAATGAGTAATTTGTCTCAGTCCAAGCAAACCTTTTCAGAATGAGACACCTCTCAAGACGTTAAGAATGAACTCTCAGAAGCAGAAACAAAGACTGAACAAGCAATGCCTAACCGCCAAATCTCCATGCCATAAATCTTATTTTTTCCTGTCTACTTCAGCTCTTTTTCTAAAAATGTGAACAGCCGAAGGCCAGAAGATATAACTCTATTTTATGACCATATGGATGGCTGGTTTCTTCTGTCTGGTTAAACTACACTTTTACATTTAATAAATATACCAAACATGATAATTTTATGAGTACGCTAAGGCTTACATAATGCATTTTATGTTCGTCAAGTAGCAAAATGAACACAGATTAGTGAAGGGTGCTACAAAAATCACTCTTATACTGATTTCCAGTTTTTCCCACAATTTTTCCTGGGATTTTTTCCCAGTTTTTCCTGGGATTTTTCCAAGAAAACTCCCAAATTTTTGATGTTTGCGCAGTTATATAAGAATGAAGAAAAGTCACAAATCTGGAAACTGTTCACCCACAACGTTCACCAGAGCAGCCTAATTAGGATTGTAAGTTCTCTACAGCCAATTAAAAACTTCCTGAAAGAGAGAGGAAATTACAAAGTTTTTGGGGGCCACCACTAAGAAGTCTTGCTGAATTGCCATACTGCTGCAAGTCAAAATGTGGGGACACCAGATGAAGCTCGCAAGACAATCTTTAAAAACATAGCCAAGTTTATATACAAGTAGATGGCCCTTCAATTTCTTACATCCAAACTGAGTTTATGCCTACAGCGGGAACGTCATTTTTAGACATTTTCGCTTTAAAAAAAAGCTCCCTGCAAGCAAAACCTGCATAACTTCAATTTGTTTCTAACTCGACTGGCTTCCTTTTGGCATGGCAATTTTCACCCGTTTTTGCAAGCAAAATGGGCCAAGATCTATCTCAATCTGTTTCTAAGGGAACTGTTTTTCTCCTTGCGTTATTTTTTTTTCAAAACAAGACAGTGGTTAAAAAATATGTCTCCCATTCCCACCTGCAGTTTTAAATGGTTGCAACCCATCCTACCCTTTCATTCTCCCTTCGGTTTGCTCGCAAGGTAAACCAGCTCCTGGACAAAACAGGAAGGAAAAGGTGGATACACCAACTTGCATTTTGAGTTTTTTAATCTCAAAGGAAGTATTAACACCCTGTCTCTAAAGCAGTGTTTCTCAACCTTGGGAACTTTAAGATGTGTGGACTTCAACTCCCAGAATTCCCCAGCCA